GACAACTTAAGCACATAATATTTATACAATGTACATGCACATATAAATTATTTTGAACTTCTTTGCATAACGTTCAGTATCATTTAAAATGAATAAAAATATGTTTTGTTAAAGAAGATGGATCCTTAGAAATTTGATCTTACACCATAGATTTTTATAAGATTCCTTAAGCTCTTTTACTGTTTTGTTTAATAACAATTGCCAGTGGATTTTTTTTACATACGAGGGTTGTCCAAAAATGTCGTAGACAGGGAAAACAGTTTTAATTAGTTTCTCTTTGCTAAATAAAATTTCTTTCCCTGTCATAGCAAAAAGTAACATTTGATGATCATGCATTTTACGTTCCATGATGATATCACATCAAATAAGAAACCTATGTAAAAATAAAGAAAGAATGTAAGAGTACACTGGCGCACGAAAGCAAGCGTAAATAACGTCATAATCTCTTTACCTGCTGCACTGGCGTCTTTTAACATTCAATATTTTTTTAAGTGATAGACCACTCTTGACTAAGGGACTTATCTAAATTCACAACTGTCCGTTTGTTTTTAATTTGTTTTCTTTAAGCAGATTCAAATTTCAGTCGAAATTTAGTCGAAAGATCGCCTTACATTGTTGGCAGTAGAGAATACACGTTGTTTGACGTCGTTCGCTGTCCAGATTGTTCCCAATTGTATGCGTTTAACAAACAGTACTTTACTTCTTACATTACGTAATTATTTTCGGTATAGAGGAAAAACTCTCATTGAATATCATGCCATTTAAGGATGTATTCTTCTGATCATTTTACCCCAAGTGGGTCTTCGTGCTAAAACATGTCGTTAAATTCAAACTGATAGGCCTAACAATTTACAAACAAGTTTTTAAAGTTTTTATGATTTACAGGTTTAACTGTATTAATTTTTAAATAAAAAATCTTTCTATGTTGCATCTATGACCAAGACGTGCAAAATTACGTTATTTACGACATGGGCCTAAGCAAGTGGGCAGAAGACGGGATCGCCCGTTTCAAAGTGACAGGAATGCCGAATTGCACTCCGAAATTTCATAACATTTAAAAAAATTGCCGATATCACAATTAGGTTTACAGGTACAATCTCGAAAGCGGTCCCCAAACATGCCAGCCAAGGTCGCCGAGGTGTTTCCAGTATCAGTGGAAAAGCGAAAATGTAGGTTTCCAATGCTTTCAAACTCTTTGAAAATAGCAATGTTTATCCATTATAGATACAAGGGTTTCAAAATACATAGTATACTGTCACATCGCAAACTGAAACATAGGATAAACATGTTACATATATGTACGGAACGTTAGGCCTAAGGGGTCTTCAGATGTGTGCAGACGACAGCATTCGTATTAGGCCTATCTTTTTTATTGCCACTTTAGCTAGTAGTATATGATAACTTTCCTTCGATATTGTAAATGCAGAATATCTATCCCATATTTATAGATATAACGTACGAAAATTCTTTAATTTTTAGCTGTTTACATTCGATAAGAAACTAAGTCGCTTCATTCTATGGCGGCCTATAAGGGTTAAAAAATGGAATATTTCTGAAAAAGAAAAGAACATGCACAAATTAATTGATTCTAAACTATAGGCTTGGGTTCATAAAAGCAAAGTCAGATATACAAAATAATGATTATACATTTTTTGAACAATAATATTACCAGTAATTACAATCTATTTTTTTTTTCTAAAATAACTTTTTTCAGGTAAGTCTTGTTGGCACAAGAATCACATGTACAAATGAAGAACTTTAGAAGAGAGCAAAGATTTAGAACCACTACAATCAGATGGAGAAAACCATGCAAATCAGATTGAGAAAGTGGGACTGGATTTGACAAATGCCAGGAAAGCCACCATCCAACACCACAAACCAGGACCCAATCCAGAACCTTTATAATGGTTACTTTTTGTTCATAAAAAGCTTTTCTAAACAGAATTGCAATTATTACATGTACCTGAAATTATCAGACTAATTTTGCATATTTGGTGAATAAAAACACATATTTTGATGCCTAAATGTCTTGATTAATTTTCATTAAATGCTGAAAAGAAATAGGGGTGGGTATATAAAAAATATCAAAAATTGTTTATATGTACTCTAACCCTTACTTTTCATGCTATGAAAAGGAGCCATAATACCTAAAGTATCTGTACAACAATTTTCGTAAAAAATTTAATTGTAGAAATATGTTTTTCTCTGGTTTTTCGAGCAATTTTATAGGGAAAAATTTGCCTAGTTTTGACACTGGTGAACAACATTTTTGGGTACAAGTTATTTAATATGTATTTATTTGCTCATATTTTGCTTAAAAAATCAACTTTGCAATAATTTCAAATAAATCTAAGGAAAATTACGTTTAGATTGATTGTATTTATAAGTTTATGGGTATTTTATGGTCTAATAGCATTTTAATGAAATTTCCCAGGCTCTATTCGAAGGGTTGAATCTTCTTGGTTTTAAATTTTTACAAGGATATTACACTTTCAGAGAAATATATAAGCAAGTGGAAAGTTAAATGCACGTTTTTTTTTCGGGTATGAGAAGAATACACCCTTAAAAAAACTCTTCTTTATTAAAATCTGGTGCGTAATGTCACTTCTGTACTCTTTTTTCCGTCTTTGATGTATATAAACCATATCCAACACAATTTATTACCTCTCCGTGCGCCGGTTACGCGTTTGACGACGTCATTTTCATAAAACTCAATTCCAACGATACTATATGAAAATCATGACACCAATCGTCTGTTTCTAAAGCTATTTATATGAAATTCTGACATACTATCAATATTAATATTGTTGTTTCAGTTATTTAAATTTGAGTTCAATGTATTTCATAGTACTAAGGAATAAAAGCAATTGTTATATTTATATGTTAATAAAAAAAATATTCCGAATTTTGTTCTTGCACCGACAGGCCTTATCGGCCTTCGTAAAAATCGTCCTAATATTATTAATATGAAAGATATATATTTAAAAATTCACAATTTTAAAGAACATTGAATATATTATGTCTACGCAAAATTTGGTAAGTATTGTTTGCATGTTAGAAAAAATAAACAGAAGGGTAGAAGACCAGAGAAAAATCAAGTAGGTAGCAGGTGCTTGGTCACGGTAATTACCGTATAAACACTGCTACAGGCGATAGCGGTCTTTTAGAGGCATAGGAAACCCTAATTACTGTATGTACAAGTGCAATGAACATTTTACATTTTAAAACCGATGTTTTAATGTATTAATAAATAAGCTTAGAAATATTTTAAAAATATACATCCGAGTAACCGAGTACCGATTTTAGTATTCGATACTCGGACGTTCGATCGAGTACCCGGTTAACCAGGTACTCGTTGACATCCCTAAAAAAATTATAAATATTGTCTACGACTTTTTGGGACAGCCGTTGTATATCGTGTGGTGTCCGATCCGAAAACTTGGTTTTCTATAGGCTTAAATCTTGTCCGTCAAATTTCGTTAGAATCAGAAAAATTAAAAAAAAAATCTTTATTCATTAAATAAATTAAATATCGTATGCATCCTTTCCCTAATCAATTAATAGTTTTGGAATATTTTGGAATTCTTCTTGTATGTGTTACTTCATATAACTATTGACGACCTCGAGGTCTTGATGAACTCTTACGACCCAGCCAATGTAGCGCACTGGCGATTTATAGCTATAAGGGATGCATTTATTTATTAATTAATCCTAGATTTTTTTTTAAATCGAAAGGTTTTATATGTAGATAGTATTTCAGATACAGTACATTTAATTACCATTTCAAAATCCCACGATGCTTTGTATTATTTAAACTGTTTGTAAATGTTACATATGTAACCAGATATATTGCAAAGATCAACTGGTCGAATTTAGTCAGCATTCTTTAAAAAAAAAGAATAAGAGAAATTTAGACCAAACTCAATCGGGAGTATCTTGTCCTTTTTGACATTCAACTTTGTAAAAAAAATTGTAACTTCAAAAAATTCACTGACAAAATAAAGCAAATGTCAATTTTAATTACAACTGTTAAATATTAAATAAGTTTACACTTAAATTAAGAGGTTACCTTATGAGGGAAAAAGATACTAAGAGAGGAAATAGCCGTTGAAGCCCGTTGAAGGAAAATGGAGATATTATATAATAGAATATAAATATTCTTAAATGGAAGAAATGCCCGATTATAATTTTCCAAGATGTTCATCACCAATAGATTCATTTCACAATAATTGGGAGATAGATAATTCATAAAATCTTGTAGACACATAAGAAAAATTCATCAAAATTATATGTTTACTTAAACACAACTTTGGGTTTTTTGCTTATTTAAGCATCCATTTTTCCGTCTTTATTTATTCCGCTCAGGAAATTGCAACTGATTCTGTACTATTTCCGTTCGGTGATTGTGGAACAAATTACACATATCTAGTCCTGTAAATTCTGCAGAGGAAACTTAATCATACAATTGAAATTAAAAATTATCGAAAATACAAAAATACATTTTCAACAGTTCATATTTCTTTTTAAAAAAAATCAGAGAGACATTTAAATTTCAATCGTGAGGCCAGGAAGGAAAAAACGATTGAAAAACATTAAGGAAATTTTTGTCAATTTATTCGAAACCCTGTGTACAGTCAGAGAGAAATGATTCTCCAAAATAGCGGTCAAAACTAACACAGGATAACACAGCAAATCCACCAACATTGTGAAACAGTAACGGGTAGACCCCCTCGGTTGTCCAGACAAGCTTGGAATTGACGTGGCCTACTTCTAACGAGACATCCCTAGTTATTTTGGGGAAGGTTATTCTATTCCTGTTGAAGTGCTGAAGCAGGTTCTTGGACATTGACAAGTGGTCCGAATTCTTTATACTGACATGTTTATCAGAACTGTTTAATACATTCTCACAAGAACTTTAATTCATAATTCATAATTTTCATTTTACCCTCTTTTCTACATCTTTGATAAAAAGTAAAAGTAATTGATAACAGGAGTTTATATCATACTCGTCGATTTTTACTTAGTTGAATATTGTAAATTCTTGCATGTGTTGCCCTCTGTATTTCGTGTCGTGGTTCCTGTTTCAGCGATTCTTGGTAGGATTGTAAGGCCCCGTCTAAGTCTCCAACAACTTGCTGACAGATTCCTAGTATCTGCCAGGATATGTCTCTGTGTATTGGTGGTACATATCTTCCATCATCGTAAAGGAGCAGTGTGTGAAGGTCTGTCAGTGACTGTAGATACTGAGATCTATTACCAAGGCGGTAATTTGATAAAACAGAAAGCATTTCTACCAATACAAAAATTGGATAACGTGCACCTTCAGCATACAGTGATATTAATTTGGTCTCTTCTTGTTCTAATATTAATTCTTCAATAAAGTGTATCCTATGATAAAACTTAATATCAATAACCCAGGTGGCTTTCATTTTTCTAGACAAAGATGCATTACTTATTTCTTCACTATATCTGTGTCTGTCTACTGGTTTGTTGTAATACAAAATAAAGTGTTCTGAAAGTCTTTGTTTCATCAGATTAGAAACATCAAGTGCTTTATTGTATCTCCCCGTCCTATAGTAATACAATGCTAAATACAGTGAATGTGAGATGTTTCCTATCTTTGACGACAATTTCAACATGTTGCACAGCATTTTTCCCTTATTGTACATACGTTTATTTTTAGAATTTGATGAATACTTTAGAATTACAAAAGTGGTCAGTGCAAGAACATCAGATGTACAACACTGCAATGTTAAGGAACTATACGGTGACAGTGACGAATTTAACAATGTGTCCATAGATTTTAGAAATAAAAAGAAATGGCATTTCAATAAAACAATTTCGTGTAATTCAAGTAGTGTACACAAATCGTTACATACACATCCAATTTCGTGACATATTCCTCCAGAAAATTGAATCCTACATGGACCGCTGAGGGCTGGCTCTAGGATCGATCTGACCGTAGAACTTAATAGTAGGCAGGAAACGCCCATTCTGTAATACTGGTTAAGTTGATCTAATAAAGACTCACGTGCAATGCCGACAATCTTATTTATAAACAAATTGTTCTGTGGAATGAAGAAATTGGCAAATTTACCACGGTATACACACAGAATGAGATATTTTAAGCACTTCCAAAAGCATTCTAATAGATTTTCAGGAGACCACCTCAAATGTCCAACTTGTATTAACAAGAACATTGTAGTCTTCATGAAGTAAGAACACAGTAATGGTTCTTCTACGTTCTTATTGATTACTTCTTCGAGAAATATTTTGAGAAGTCCATAGCACATAAATTGAATATGATTCATAGAATACACTAGTTTTTGTTCTGCAAGAGAAAAGGAAAATCTCCAATTTAATATATTTCCAACACTAGTGGCAATACTCCCAATAGCCACACAGTGGTAATTATTGTTTAAGATATTTTTAAGTGCACTTGCAGGAGGCCAATTGTGTCTTAGGCATCTTTCAATCCAGTCATTTGTATCAGGGGGCCAATATTTGCAGGTAAAACAGAATGCTATATCAACATCTCCCGAGAAATGCCCACTGAAGCAAGGGCCATGTTCGTGACCATTTTTATACAACATACAGCTAGAATACTTTTCAACGAAAACTTTCCTCAGAAAGAAGCTAGATATGTAAATTCGATCATTTAAAGGAACGAATGCTGATGTTAAGAAATCAATCATGTATGCAGGACGTGTAAGAAGCTGTAGTCTAACAAATCCAGGTGGTGTATCCGTGACATCCATGAGAATAATGTCAAGATTTGATAAAGGATAGTCCCTCAACTGAGAAATGTCATTTATCAAAAAATGACGTTCACAAAACCACATCATGTAATCTCTGTCAGATGTATTAAACCTAAATCCTTCTCTATAACTACCGCTTAACATTATTCTTTTGGAATCTACATCTTTTGAAATTTTAGATGTATTTTCCTGTATCTTGTCATCCATGTCCAGCACGTCCCTTCTGATAGTCACTACTGTTGGTGTCCCTATCTTACAACACAGACCATGATACAGGATCTCTGATAGGCGGGGAATGTAAGCCATTCTGTAAATTAAGCAGGGAGAATGATAAAGAAGCAAAATAGCAAACATATAAGAAAATAAAGTTACTTTTTAAAGATATTTTTAGCGAGGTATGATTTTGTCTGAAATGACAATTTTAAATGCCACCTTAACTGAATATGTTTTTTTAATTAAATTTATTTTCACTTGATGAGGATTTAAAGTTGTTTGTGAACCTGTGCTTTATTATTGTTTGATGCAGATGAGTAATAATTAATAGATATATTTATTAATATATACCATTTTGGCAGCAGAAACAATTTTGACGTGTTTAAAACTTACGGAAATTACCTGTACATGTATTTTAAAAAAAATCAATAGTGTAAACAAAGATTATAATACTTTAAAATTATACAAAAATGATTGATATAATATAAATTATTGATAAAATTTGAATTGTAATTATTTAAAATTGAATGTCAGCCAAACAGAAATGCTAAAGCCTGTCTGAATTTCTAATGTTACCTCGGTTGCAAAAGACGCACAACTTTCATAACTTTAAAGGTGATAAGCATTTGTCAACGAAAATCCACGATTTCCGATTTTGATAAAAGAAAAAACTGGGGGTACCTACATGTACATGTATTTACATGTTCAAATTAAGTAAGCACTCGACTCACTTAGCAGCGATGGTCGTTAAAGATCAGATTGAAACAGCAAATATCACTTACCTGATTTATGTTCTATAAAATATTACCGGTGCATATACTACCATAAAAGCTGTAAATTCCAAGAACTCGGTAAAATACTATTAATCGCATTTTTAATATCATGAACGGACATCATTTGTAATATGCTGGAATAAATCAGATCTGTCTTCGTTCAAGGAAGTACAAAAATGTGTAATCTTGAAGAAAACATCTGGTAACTGAAAAAATTTAAAGTGATCTAAATACAAATACTCATGCTTTGATTTCACAGAAACTGACGTGTTGTCCAATAGGGGAATTAACAAAGTTGATTTGATCATAACTTGTCCAATCATAGCATTTAAGGTTTTTTTTTCTATTTATGGTGCATTTTCGTGTGTTAGAAAATAAGTAGAAATACATGTAGGTGTTTAAGTTAATATCTAAAGACTCTAATTTTTAATCAGTTAAAGTCTGAGTATTTTTCTTGCAATAAATAATTGACGACACATTCATGGGATTTTTTTTATTATAATAATAAGTGAAGAATGAAAACAAAATTGAATTCAATTTGGAAAGTTTACATGAATATTAAACATGACGTCATTTCCCTGTAGCATTTTTTTTTTCGTGAATTAACGCAAGTATTTAGTTAATAAAATGTACACTAAAGAGATAACATTTCATTAAAAATTGGTAATAAATGTTTTTTTATCGATTACTGAGTAATTTGATATACTGTATTGGTTATGATAATATTAGTTTATGTCTCCTATGTTTCTTGCAGCCTCGTTATTTGTCAGCCAGAAAACAACACTATCTAAAGAGTGAATGTAGTTGCATAAGTCATTTATGGATGACACAAGGGTAAGACATAAAAATTGAGAGATCCTATGTTTTCCTACAAATTGTATATAGGCATACACCTTGATTTGGATCTCCCAAGATGTAAAGGTACAAGTTCTCATAATGATTGGACAAAGATGTATCTAACAAAATTGCTGTTTTATGGACAATTCCGCATAATTGATAATATACCATATGAGGAGTATAAAATTCCAAGACCCCGATTGAAGGTATATATTGTACTTCAAAGGTCGCTAAATTATCATATTGACTGAACCCATGCAATAATTGTTTAATTATATGATTCAATGATTAAATGTAAATGATACCAATAAACAGTTAACGCCACCTTCTTCTTTACATTGAATTTCAGACATACATGTAACAAAGGATACAAGACTACCACAAATCATTATTGACCCGTCCTACTTCGCGTTTTTAGAGATTGCCACCAGAAACAACAAAATACAGAGGGAAATTTTAAATATAAATGCTACTAAGATTTTGATTTTTCTAAGTAAGAAAAAATCAAACATGATAAATTGTCTACTTATCAATACAGTAATTGTGTATATGTACTTTTTCTGTTCCCGAAAGATAAAAAGCTATTAAAATTAATCCATCATCTGCATAATAATCCATCATCTGTATAATATATCACGTGCACTTTCCTTCAAAAGCTGCTTTTAAAAGAAAGTGAATACAGAAAAGGTGCATTTTAAAACATCTAGCTGATGTGCAAACTCACAGTCACGCATTGAACAAAAATGTCGGCTTTTACTATTCTTTTTGCGACTGTTTTGATAGGAAGCTTGTATCTTCTGGGAGTTATCGGTAAGGTTTGAATATTTATGCGCAAACTGTTTTATTGTTTTAGATTGTTCAAAGGAAGAAAATTCTATTGTGTACATGTGTGTGTATGAAACTGTATGATATTTTTTGTTGTCATCTATTTATTTAAAAAAAAACAACAATTTATTAACATAATAAAGTGAACTGAAGTGAATTAATGGAAGATATGAAATCAAAATTATGCTATATATTAACTATTTTAAATAGTGAAGGTGGAAAAATTAAGTTTTCTAAATAAAGACTTGAACTGAAATGAAAATGATAAAAATATTGACAGAAAAATGTAATTTAACCAAATAAATACACGCAGAGAAATAGAAATTTGGGAAGAAACATAAAAATAACGATCTGAATTTAGAGAAACACATGAGGTAGAATTACACACTGAATTATGCATCGTTTCCAAAAATCATATTACATTCTTTCCTTTTATAAAACAACTATAAATACAGGCTTATCAGAACATTTTGAATAATTATAATTAAACAAGTTAAATTTCGGTGTGGGATTATTAATTTTTTTTCTGTTGTTTGAATGATAGTATCTATAGCATTTTCAATAATGTTTATCCTTGATCTCGAATTTCCTCTGTTGAAGCTTCATGTCAACCAAATCCCTGTCAGAATGGAGGTATATTATGCCACTAGAAGGCGCTGTCCGTTGTTTTTGTCCAATCAAATATGAGGACCTTTATTGTGAAAGTAAGTCTATAGAGTATAGTTTAACAAGAACAATCGTTTTCTTTTCTTTCACAGATATCTTGATTATCAGTTTTCAATTGCCTTTAAGGAAGCTCTGCACACTAAAGAGTTCTGTTTACATGGTAGTTTTATGAATTTAGAAGTTAGAGTGATCTGTCCTTAGAAGTAAGATTGAAAAAATGGTTATTTACGGTTAATGACACAATTCTTAATAGATTAAAATATTCTTATCGTTATATTAGACCAATAATAGTAAATGAATTCATTATTTCTATTTATTTTCCCTATGTAAACATGATTGATTTCTGCTTACGAATAGTGTATAATTGCCTTTTAACATTTTTCTTGCAGAAATAAGGCAGGTACCTTATGTTGAAAAAGAAACAAAATACTTGTAACCCAAAATGCACCGTCACCTTTATATGATAAGTATAAAAGCTCTTCTTAAAATTGATGTTAACACTGCACACTAAAGAGTCCTATTTTAGGGTATTCTTAATGATGTCAAAGTGATCTGTCCTTAGATGTGAGATAGAAAAAACTGGCTATTTGCAATTAATCATACAATTGTTAATAGACTAAAATATGCTTAGCATTATATTAGACCAAGAATATAAGTAATTGAATTCATAAATTCCATTAATTTTCCCAAATGTAGTAAACAACAGTGTTTCTGTTCATGCATAGTCCATTGTCTTTGACCATTTTTGTGCAGAATTAAGGCAGGTACCAATATACCTTAATTTTGTGTGCGCCACCAAGTTAATTTCCAAGGCATCCTTGGATAAAGGGGGGGGGGTTTCATTGTTACAATGAAGATCTAAGCTCTTTTCGAAGGTAAGATAATGAAGAAAAGTCAGAAATAGGGTGGGGGCATTCAAAAAACTTCTTACCAAGAACCACTGGGCCAAAAAAGTTTAAACTTATGTTGAAGCGTCCTGGGGTAGTGTAGATTCTGAATTGTACAAATCATGATCTTCAGTCGGTAGGACTGGGCCACAATAGGGACTCTAAGTTTTACATTAAAATATGAAGCAAAACATCTTTCAAATTCTTCTTCTCTGGAACCACTGGGCAAGAAAAGCTGAAATTTATTTGGAATCATCCTAGAGTAGTGTGGATACTAATTGTTCAAATCATGGCCCCGGGGATAGTGTGGGGCCACAACAGGGAATCTAAAGATGAACATTAAAATATATAGAAAAAAGTCTTCTTCTTAAGTACTACTAGGCCAGAAAAGATGCAACTGCAATTGTTCCAATTATGACTCATGGGGGTAGGAAGGAGCCACAATGAGGAATTATCCAAGTTTTACATTGAAATATATAGAAGAAATGTTTAAAAATCCTCTCAAGAACCACTAGGCCAGATAAGCTTCTACTTATGTGGAAGCATCTTGGAGTAGTTTAGGTTTTATATTGTTTAAATCATGACTCCTCCCAGGGAGAAGACAAGGTTACAACAAGGAATATTTACATTGAAATATGTAGAAAAAATCATAAAAATTTTTCTTCTAAAAAAACCCACCAGACCAGAAAAGCGGCAACTTATGTGGAAACATCCTGGGGTAGTGAAAATTCTTAATTATTCATATCATGACTGTTGAGAGTAGGGCGGGGACACAATAGGTAATTCAAGGCGGCATCAAGTGAGTGAGGCGAAGAACAGCAGGGCCAATGTTACTCAGGTGAGCGTTGTAACTCATGGGGTAATAACTAATAACTAACTAACTAATAAGGTGTTTGATTTTTAAAAAATGTAAAAATATGAAAATTCATAACATGCATATCTGCAATTGCATCATGGTTGTTTGTTTGTTGTTTAACGTCCCTCTCAATAATTTTTCACTCATATGGAGACGCAACAACTTGCCGATGAAGTTCGACCTATACTAGGTACTCAAGGCCATTGAGGAGTAGTGATTGATATTTTCGTGCCAGGATCTATTGCGACACGAGGCCTCGGTTAAAGGTCTTATCCGAAGGATCGGTCTCCACGTCCAACAGTGGGATTCGATCCTGCGACGCAAGGATCTCCCAACTTTGAGACTCTAGAGCAGACGCTCTACTACTGCGCCATGAGGGCGACTTCTATTAAGGTTGTAATTTGTTTTTTTTTCTCCAGAAAGGGAAGAAGTAAATAATACAAAACTTTTAAACATGAACATACAAACTCGTATTTCATTGTTTTTTTTTCCTGAGCCCATGATTGTTCTTGTCATTAGCAATTTCAAAATGTGCTTTGGATAAGAACATTAACCAATGGCATAACTGGGCACAAATTTTTTGAGCTGTATATAAAACTGAAAATATCATATAATTAAAAAAGTCATGTAATTGAATATTAATGTCTCTGTCCTAAAATTCGGCAAAGGCATTTTACTGCAGTCATTATACATGTAATAGATTTAATGAAGATTAAGGTTTTTCTTTAAAAAAAAATATGACTAACGTTTATCATACCTTTAGGTACATCATGTATGATCCCCCGCTTTCAGTTTCAGGAGTTGGGATGTCATTATCTTTTTTTCTTAAATGCTATTTAATCTAAAATTTAATAGCCTTTATTCCTCTAAAAAATAAAGTCGATGTTTTAGTATGATACTTCCATACGAATATGAATGGTTTTGCAGTATTCACTCGTTTAGTATTATTTTTATATAGACCTTTTTTACTTATGATGAAATGGCGCCAGATATGGCACCACCTTGTAAGTTAACTAGGAATGGATGTGGATGTCCCCATGGACGGACTGGTCTTAACTGTGATCAACCTCTACATACAGAAAGTAAGTTTATTATATTAGTCGCAAGTTTCCATTATGACTTTCTTTCCTTCCTGTTACCTTATTTTTACATTTTCAATTCCCAAGTCTTTACTAAATGAGTCCAATTAAATGCATGCTTTAAATAAATTAAACGAAATCGATAACCAGTTCAATATACTTAAGGAAAGAAGCTTATTTCAACTTATGTTTTACGATATAACATATATGGCACGCCAAAATCACAAAAATGAGCTAAACATAGTTTCACAGTCGATAAACTAGGTTTATCGCTTGTAAACTATAGTTTACGGACTGTTAACTATAGTTAACGACGCTAATCTATATTTTACATCCGTAAACCATAGTTAATGCGGTAATCTATGTTTCACAACCGTAAACTATACTTAACAATGAAAACAATCATTTGCGATTGCAAAACATAGATTAATGATAAATACATGTACAGTTTCACGATTTGTAAACTATAGTTTACAAACCGTTATCTATAGTTAACGATCTGATAAATATAGTTTCACGATTTGTGAAACTATGATTAACAACTCTTAACTATAGTTTACGATTGTAAATTATAGTTTACAAACGTGAATCTATGTTTATCAACAAAATCTATTGTTAACGCTTATTACAGACAGATAAACTTAGATTGTCATTCGTAAACTATAGTTAACAACCGTTCAATATAGTTTTACAGATGAAAACTATACTTAACGAATCGTTAACTATAGTTTACGGTTTGTAAACTATAGTTTACAGTCGATATAAATGTAAAACTAGGTTTATCTCATTTTTAGCTCACCTGAGCCGAAGGCTCAAGTGAGCTTTTCTGATCAAAATTTGTCCGTCGTCTGTCGTTGTCGTCGTCGTTGTCGTTGTAAACTTTTCACATTTTCATCTTCTTCTCAAGAACCACTGGGCCAATTTCAACCAAACTTGGCACAAAGTATCCTTGGGTAAAGGGGATTCAAGTTTGTTCAAATGAAGGGCCACGCCCTTTTCCAAGGGGAGATAATCATGAATTTGTTAAAAATTTATGGCATTTTTAAAAAATCTTATTCTCCAGAACCGCTGGGCCAGGAAAGATGAAACTCATGTGGAAGCATCCTCAGGTAGTGTAGATTCAAGTTTGTTCAAATCATGACCCCCGGGGCAAGGGTGGGTCCAAATGGCCGAACCAAGTTTTACATAGGAATATATGGGAAAAATCTTTAAAAATCTTCTTCTCCAGAACCACTGGGCCAGGAAAGATGAAACTCATGTGGAATCATCCTCAGGTAGTGTAGATTCAAGTTTGTTCAAATCAAGACCCCCGGGGCAAGGATGGGGCCAAAATGGCCGACCCAAGTTTTACATAGGAAAATATGGGAAAAATCTTTAAAAATCTTCTTCTCCAGAACCACTGGGCCAGGAAAAATGAAACTCATGTGGAATCATCCTCAGGTAGTGTAGATTGAAGTTTTTCAAATCATGACCCCCGGCCCTGGTGATAGGGTGGGGCCAAAATGGCCGACCCAAGTTTTACATAGAGATATATAGGGAAACCTTTTAAAATCTTCTTTTCAAGTACTTCAAAGCTATGATTAGTGATACCCGGGGTATTTATATGGAATCATCCTCAGGTAGTGTAGATTCTAGTTAGTTCAAATGATGAACGCCTGGAAGGGGGGAGTAAATTCAAGCCCGATGTGCTCAGGTGAGCGCTGTGGCCCATGGGCCTCTTGTTGTGAATTTGGCGTGCCATAAACATAACTTGGGAAGTTTACGTTTTATAAACAGGTTTATAAAAAGCGTTTAACAGTCCCGTTATGTTATATCTTATAACTTAAGTTGTAATAAACTTAATTCCTTATAATTTAATTTCAGTGTAGACAATAAGACAATTTTTCGTCTAGACAAAGGCTTCAAATTGAACGATAATGTTAATAGAAAAGAGTAACACGTTTTTTTACGTAACTAATTGTGACGTAGGCAACTCATGTGGTACGAAATGGATTAAATCTTTTATCTTATCAAATAACGTGTTACATTTAAAATTAAATTATTTTGGGATATACAAAGGAATTTAAAATTGCTTCTAATATTTAAACTGAAAATAGCGTACATGTACATTCATGTATTTTATAAAATTGCTTTCAGCACTTCCATCACATATAGGTATAACTCCACCATCTAAAGATATCCGTACAGCAACTATAAAACTGCCCGATGATATCCTTAAAATGGCAATTGAGAATTGTTGATTAATGATTGTATGTTGTTTACGTCCTGTTCGAGAATTTTTCACTCATATAGAGACGTCACTTTATACCAATAAAGGGCTTCAAATTTAGATTTTTACTCGGTACTGAGGGTCATTACGCTGCAAGGGATCCTTATCGTGCCAGCGTCTGCTTTGACACGGGCCCTTGGTTTTAAAGGTCTCATTCGAGGGTTTAGCGAATTTTATGTCAACATGCTCAAAATGGCCGGTGCTATGCGAAGGAATATTTGCCACCTATTTTTATCGACTTCGATCAGTCGCGGCAGGTGTTCGAACCCACGACTTCGGATCACAAAGTGACGGAAATATTTTGAGAAAGATGTAATTTATATTAAACAGTACGAATTTTGATGCACCAGATAGTACGCATATCGACAAATTATATAATTATGTCTCTCGTTGATGCTTATGCCGAAACGTTGGAAATCCTACACATCTTATTAAAAAAATACTTTGAGAGCAGAAAAAAGAGGTTCCAAAGACCGGAGCCAATTACGTCGAAGGATCAGAAATATGCATGAGGGTAACATTCCTTTTGAAATAAAGTTCTAAATTTTACCATAGCAATTAAATATTTATCCACATTTTCAAGTACCTAGTAGGTACTTAGCTCCTGGGCTGTCGAGAATCTTGGGCACTAACAGTCTACCAGCAGATGTCAACTTATATTGTCCATTTACATGGATTTCTTCTCTTTTTTTCCTTTTTTACTTATATGAAAAAGAATTCAATAAAGGGTGATGTAAAAATGATTTCAATGTGGTTAACGAACATTATTGCAATAAAGTATTTCTGAGTTATACTGTTTAAACATTTTTTTTCAGAATCGTCAAAAATAATGATAGAAGCAAGTGTTTAAAGTCTTCTTTTTGAAAGTATCTGTCATTTCTTTTTTTTTTCAGAGAAACAGAAACAGAAGATCCTTATTTAAAAATCAATGCAGTAAATTTGACTTTTTTATTGCTTACTTTTTCCGAGAAAGTTTACATTTTTATTATTTGTATGATAAACGAGCATGCCATCCCTGAAACACAAATGAACCTGTATGATTTTTCGCGTAAAATGATACAACTTCAAACTATTTGTGTGGAAGCTGCGCGAAGGCGAAATGTGGCTGAAAATACTAATGCATCTTATACCCCATTCATACGACATGTTTTGCATACATCAGTATATTTTACTCATATGTAAATTTACTCACATGTGCAATTTTTGTCGTATGAACTGATTTGCTCACATGTAAATTCTGCACAGTTGAGTAAATTTACACCTGGTCAGGACTAGGTGCAAATTAACTTTTGCATACATGTTGTCGCAAATTTATAGTTCATGTGTGTAAATTTGTCATATGAACTCGCAGCAAATATACTAATGTATGTATTTTGTTTTGTTTATTGCATAAATCTCCATTTTAAGTGTTGTTTCGGTTGTTAATGCATTGTTGTGTGTATAATATCAGTCTGTTAGCATGGCGGCTAGAAAGCAAAACATAAAAACTGGATTTTCTATGGTCATCTATGCTGTACTTCAACAACAGCTAAAAGTAATTTGAGTTTTGATAAGGGTACTGCTTTAAAGGATACGCCGGGTTGTTCTAGCATAGTTCTTTCCACAAATGACTTTTTCAACTCTGAAAACAAGAATCCACACTATATCTCCAGTGTCCTCTGATATAAATTTAAATTTGCAAAAACGTGCGCATCTTGCACCCTTTTCTGGCAAACCTATGTTTTTACCTCTAAATTAAAAAAGATATAGCTGTGGTCAGGCAAACATGTGCCCTGCAGGATGAATAGGTAGTCCCCTTACAATTCAAGTAGTCTTCATGGGAATGCTTCGGAGCTGTGATAGGAGTAGGCATTACATCAATCGCCCGGGCCATTACAGTTTGACTTTCTTCTACCTTTCTTTGTTTTTAAACCAAGCTACTGAAATATAAATTGATGCTACAGGAATTTCAACAACCCTGTTGAAAATAAGCATTTTTGAGCATTCTCGATCCTTGGCCACATGTCCCACCAGGAATTTCTAGGGGAGTCGTCTTTACTGTAAATGTATTATATTTCTAATAGCATGTACGATATTTGGCGGTAATTCAATTTTGATTAAGCGCATTTCTTCTTATTTATGTGTATATGTGCAAGACATTTAGCGGTGTACTTGATTTAGCGGTTGTTGAGTTCCGCCAAAGCCGCCAAAAAGAATACACAGCCAAATGTAATACGTTTACAGTATTCCCTATTCATATTATTTGTTTCGTTTGAATTTTTAAAAAATTGAATGCCCACGCCATTCTCCTGGAAAATACATGTAATATTCAAATACTTCAGAATGACCTCGCAAACTTGAGGTACTGTTGTTTTCAAAACACAAAAAAATTTCCAGTCGTACTTTATTCTGCTGAAGACGACATTCAGTAGATGGCAACAGCCATCTTTTTCTTAACACCCAATGGCTCTTCCATAGACTTTAGGACCGAGGCCAAGGCATTTTTAAATTTCTAACAATGATTTTAATTAATTTTCCTTTTTTCATGTGTAAATTTTTCCTAAAAGTTATTAAGTTTGGTTTTTTTTTTCGCATCAAACAATAAATAGATTGGACACCCCTTATTTCTCTGGGGAACATTCAAAAGTTAATTTTACAGCTTTAAACCTTAATAGTAAAAAATAACATTTTATCTATGCAAATCCACAATTCTGAATCTTATTTTAAATGAAAATATAAAGATTAACTTACAGTACATAAATCTCGTCTGAACGCATCGCAAATTAACTTTTACTTACGTGTGTATATTTACTCATATGTAAATTTGCACACATAAGCAAATTTTCGTCGTATGAATGGGGTATTAGATTTCCTCATCTTCATTAATGAATGATTGGTTTTACAATTTTTAAACTTAACCACTGCAACACAAAACAATGGAATAATTAACACTTTTGAAAGTTAAAAAAATAATAATTAAATTGAAAAGGATTTATCCTGTATCTTACTTCACAAATGTACCAAAATTTGTCCAAATCTGTAGTTATCTTCTAAAGAAAAATTGTTAATACAGTAAGTCAGTAACCATTGCAATATTTTTCAGGAATTGTAGCCTGTTGTATGAAATGTTTTGTTCAATATGACTTAAACTGATGAATGGGTAGTATATTTATTAAGTTAACACACAAAGGAACATATGGACCAGTGTCCCTCTTTTCTAAACGTTTTATTTTTCTAGATACTGCATTTTTCACCTAGTTTTGTTTACTTCTCCACGTGTCCCAGTGCTAAAAATAGGGCCACGCGACCTTTATAACAAAGGAAAGTAATTCTAAAATCAAGACGGACATTAAAACTAAGACGGCAATTGAGAAGTAGGCCCTATGCACATTTTATCAGATAGATAATAAAGTTAAAGCTTTAAAAAAACAGGGCATGGGAAATTGATTAAATACAGAGAAATATGAATTTTTTACATAGTAGGCCTATCTTTTCTGGCACAGAAACCTAAATCGCATTCATGACGGTCATCTTTTATAAACCCGTTATATATATCTAATAATTTAGTGAACATGTTGAAGTTTCCCAAAATTATTTACATGTGTGCAGGATAATAATATCTCAAAATATTGATCATCTGATCAGCTGATTGACTCTCCATTGATTGCCACGCTTCACAGCATAGTCACTAATTAACAACGTGTTTGTTTAACACAGTCCGCTTTCCTTCGAGGCACTATAGGTGCATGGCAGTCGTAGTATAAACACAATTAACTACTCAAGTCATTAAAAAGCAGATGTCAGGACTGAAATGCAATAAACTTTAATCATGGCGGCTGCCGATTTTAACCATGGCGCAGCTCGTTTAACCATGGCGCACATAAATTTAACCATGGCGGGCCGCCATGGTAAAACCTCTTGTGGAGAACCCTGATGATAATTCACAAGAAATGAAGAATCCCAAAGTCCGATTTTATTGAAGGAGCGGTTGTCTATGATATCATAAAGTCTAGATTTTAATTCATATTTAAGAAATAAGATATCATTTTTAGAGTTTCATTGGGATATGACCTGAAGTCGGTCACGTGATCAAATACGTACCGACTTCATGCCATTCCCAGTGAAACTAAAAAAAGATATTTTATTTCTTATATAAAATTATATGTTCATTTTATATTCCCGTGACAAGGCAAAGTAGGCACAATTTAGACTTTGATATGGAAATGCAAAATAACTTTCTACGACGTCATGGGTGAGGGGTTCTGGTGTTAGGGAGGGGTTCCACTGATTATATAGTGAAAATTCATTCACTAGTCGATGTTCGACCGCAGTTTGAGATGTCGTACATGTCGATGAGATGTTGTACCACTTACTACACAGGATTGACAGCTGGGGTCTTTTTTGCATTCGTTGGAATTCGAAAGAAAACGAAATTTATATCATGGTATGTCAAAATAAAAAGTATAAGGTATAATAAAACATTTATTGACTGTGTTCTTGGACAAAATGCGTTTTGTCGACCCCTGGAATTTGAAATAATAAAATAAATATATATTTGCTTTGCGCTTTTGTAATTCATCAATGCAAAAAAAATTCTGAACAGTTTCTGCTGCATACAGTTGCCCTTTAAGGACATACGCAACGTACCTTACTTACTGATATTTTTTCAAGATATTCTTAATTTAAGATTATAGTGCTATCAGATGTTCATAGACAAAATTCAGCATGCATAACCAGGTTTTGAAAAGATAAAAATTAATTAAAATTCTTTAATAATTCAAAAAAAAAAATAAACAAAAATTAGTCAACACAAATTCAAGATATAATGTTTATTCAAACTTGTTTAGGTTGTTGTACACTTCTTCTAAAACAAGTTTGAATAAACAATCTATCTTGAATATATGTATTAAATTAAGAATATCTTGAAAAAATATCACTAAGTAAGGTACGTTGCGTATGTCCTTAAAGGGCAACTGTATGCAGCAGAAACTGTTCTGTAATATAATTTTTTAAAGACGCACTGTTACATGTAACAAGTTTTCACTTTGCGTGCAGCACTGTTTCAAATTCAATGAAAACAATTGAAAACTGCTAGATTTTTTTCCCGTTATTTCTGCGCTTCTAGTAAATCAATAAATGGTATGATGTAGCATATATCAAATAGCTTATTATAAACTAGCTATCATTTCTGAAAATAAGAGAGAGAGAAAAAAAAACATTGAAATTGGCATGGCATATGTAACATGTACTTGTTACAAAAATTGTATCCAAAATGTTCCAGAGAACTAATATTGTACGTTTATAAATAAAATTACGATTTTAGTCATTCTCTTGTATAGCTTACATTATACCGTGTTCAATTATTTTTCACAAATATAGTAAAACGTGTGATTGCATGAGTAATCATGCCAGGATCCGTCGCCTTCCATTGAAACGCAGTTTTCGTTTGCATCACCGTTTGGTTGATTAGAATACCAGTTTGTGTACGTCATAGTCTTGGAAGAGTGTTCCCAGTAAAACGTACCCTCCGAGTTTGAGTCAGTACCCCCGATCCACCAAGAGTCCCCAGAGGCTGAAATTAACAATGTTAAGGTACAATCCTGTTCAACTTTCAGCCTAGCTGAGCTAAAATGTTGTATAGTACAAAAATACGCAAAACTGTACCTTTGTCTTGAATCCATGTTTTCTCAACTTCAGTTTCTATTGCAAGAAGATGTGTTCCCATCGAAATGCAGCTTTCCTAAAATGAAAGAGGAAAAATAAGAATTTTAGTTTCGGTTTACTAGACGTATTTCTCCGATAGGCAGAGAGTTTGCCAAAGATTGTTACTAAGCGCACCTCTGTCAATTCGATCCTTGACGAGAAACTCACCACAACTCGGAAGAATTGTTCCTCATCTGGTAAAGGAGACGGAATTATCATTTGTTTTCTTTTCTGATTCTATAAGTGAAATTAGTTTGAAAAGAGTTTTGATTGCAGTCTATATATAGGTATATGTAGTGTACACTGACTTGGTAAAATTATTGTCGAAAGCAAAAACAATAGTGATGTAACCTAAAGACATACAATACATTTCGTCATTCGTTAATGTCTTATTTCCGTGATAATGTACGTTGTAGTTATACTACTATATTAATTCTAGTTGAAATCCAGAGCAGGTGTTCTCTTCTTCGCATATAGAACCTTTTGAATTAATTCTGTTTCGTATTCATGAATGCAAAAAAGGTTGGCTAATAACAAGGTGCAATTGGTACACATGGAAATTGCAAAAGACGGTGGGAAGTCCTTATCTCCATAAACCACATAGATTTTGTTAATCAGAAACTCAAGCGTCTTTTCATTATGAAATTAAGGGAACTAGTGATACCATCGGAATGATTTTGACAAAAATTCCGAAATGAAATATGACAAGGAAGGTACATATACGAGTTAATTTTTATTGACAATGTACTTGTCTATGATATCCAAAAAGCTTTTAGCATCTATATTTCAATAACACCACCTCTTGAATATCCAACTGCATGGTGCCTCTTTTGTTTCCCCTTAACTGCTTTAACTTCAAAAGATTAAGTCGCCCGCTTGACGCAGTGGCTAGAGCGTCTGCTCGAGAGTCGCGAAGTAAGAAGTTAAAACCCACTGTGAAACGTAGAAACTGGCCCTTCTGATGAGACCGTATAAACCAAGGTCCTGTATCGCAGTAGGTGCTGGCACGAAAAAGATCCATCCCTGCTAACTGGCCCTGAGTGCCGAGTAAAAGACAAAATTTGTAGCTCTCCACCGGCAACTGGTGATGTCTCCATGTGAGTGAAAAATACTCGAGAGGGATGTTACATAACATACAATCAATCAATTTATGTTGTATGGTTGCTCGCGTGGCGTGGTGGTTTGAGTGTCTACTCCACAGTCGCGAATAAGGGACTTGCATGGTTTGTCCATTATCCTTTAGATAAAGTCCCTACCTTTGAAGATCTCCATTGCAGTCTCTTTTTCACAAAGCAATAACTACTCCCTCCGTTCCTTATCCATGACACAGGACAGTCTGCAATATGAAAAATAAAACCATTTGAACATTAAAAAAATGTATAATATAAATATTGTTTCTTTTATTAGGACACCTTCTGTTTAAATTTTCGCAAAGGGAAAAAGCAAAGACGATAATGCAGTATCTTTGCAATTTCCCCTCAGTGCCGAGTATATAGGACACAATTTACAGCTCTCCACCGGCTAGTGGTGGCGTCTCCATATGAGTGAAAAATTCTGGAACGGGACGTTAAACAATATACAATCAATCAATCAATCGATTCTATAGCTTCTTGAATTTGCAATTTCCTCTAAACTTGAAAGTGTTGGCAAGTCATAACACTAATGTTAAGATATTGAAACCCATAAAAATGTTTTAAGAATATACATGAAATAATTTTCACAGACTTTTAGTTTTTCTAAAGAGCTAATGCATGTTATATTTACACACAAAGTTAAGTTGTTCACTGCGATAAATATGCATAGTGTTTCATCAATGTTTTCCTTTCATAATCAAAGTAGCTAAATATGTTAATGATAAAGTAGAAACAAAGCTCAGTTTTGCTTAAGACTCTCTGTTTTTTATTTTAATTTCAAAATTCTTTTTATAATTTTATCGCTGTCCACTTCTCTCAACACTATTGTTAAATTTTGTCAAACATCGAAAAGCATAAAAGAGAGCACTTAATAAAAGATAGATCAAGCCTAAACAATGCTTTGTGAAAAATGGAATGACTGCATCATTTCAATTGTCATCTTGCTTTACTTATTTAGAAATATACCCTTTTCACCTGAATATGGGGATCGACATCTCTCAGTTGATTCGATACGCAATAGCATGCTCTTCATATGAACAAAGTCTAAAACCATTCAAGGTATTGACAAATAAGTTGATGGAAAAAGGGTATCAACAAATTCGTTTAAATTCATCATTTTTTAGTTTTACGGTAGAAACAATAATCTTGTTACCGAAAACAATCTATAAATTAATCAATTATGACCGACGTTTTTCATACTAGTTGAAGGCAATAATTTACAAATTGGATTGTGTTACGATTTTTTCCGTTTTTCCAAACCATGCCAAGAAGCACATGGCGTGTTTGACCGGTCGGTAGGGGATGCTTACTCTCATATTAATTCCACCTTAGATATATTTGGAGGGTCGTATTAGCACTGCTACCGATTTGTATTGTATAAATTGACTTTGAGCTAGAATACTGTTATCTCTATATTTCATAAATACTTTATTTGGTTTTTGAATAACGTATGCGATATAACAAAAGCGAATGTTTAGGATAAATTACTTTTTATCAATTTCCTTATATATAAATATATTAGGTGTTTTGCAGAAATATGAATTAGAGAGATTTTTTTAGAAAAAAAAATAACACATGTAATTTTCACACCAAGATACATGCAATAACAATGCAAAATGTAATAAACCTGGATTATTACATTTTGCGTTATTACATTTTGCGTCGAAATCAACGCAGAATGTAATTTAACGCAAAATGTAACAAGACACTTTTGAGGATTATTACATTCAGCGTTATTACATTTGTGATTATATAATTTGTAATAATAAAGGTTTATAAAATAGTTCGGGTTGGGGATTCAAGTATTTGATACGTCACAATCAGCTGATTTACTACCATATTAAGCCAGTTGTGATTATACCCTGGATTGAGACAGACGTCTGACGACACTGTCCCGTCCGGAGTACACAGCTCAGGTGGGTTGTAACTTATTGTTACCCCTCACCATTTCACGAGTTATACTAACTACATAGATTGTATTCCTTGTACTAACGCACTTCACAACATTGGCGTCGCCTGTAGGATCTCCCGATCGGTGAAGTGCGACATTGTTTATATTTCGCGCCATATTTTTTTTCTTATCAAATAAAATTCTTTTTTAAAAAAAAATAAATTCAAAGGCGGTTTCTATCATTTCCTTGCTTTTTTCTCATTTTTTCATTTAGATTTGATTGTTGTCGGATTTTCTGATAACGATCATAAACATTCCACTCTCGATTTTCTGTCGGACATTCTGATAGTTAATCAACAACACGTCTGTTTCTCTATCTTTATTTATTTATTTTTTGAACAAAACAAAATTGAATCAGAATGGCAAATGGAAAACCCTGTAGACATAAACAATGCTAGTTTGGGGGAATTAAAAACAATCCCAAACATTGGAGATAAAAGGGCAGGGTTAATCATGAGACTTAGGGAAGAAAAGGGGACACTCTCTGTAGAAGATCTAAAAACACTAACATCAATCCCAAGCACAATATGGGACCCCCTTGTGAGTGAGGGTGTGATTGTTTTTGGAGAGAGTCAGAGAGACAAACAATCAGAAAAAATACAACACCCCAAAATTGAAGATGCTTTAAATGAAATTGCAAAATTACAATCAGATATAGCTTGGCTCACAAAAGACAATGAAAGAAAAAACATACAAATTGTTCAGTCAGAAAAAGACATCACTTCTAGACAAAAGCAATTAGAAGATTTAGAAAATACATTAAGATCAGAACATGAACAACAAATGTACAAACTACAACAAAAATTTGAAACAGAACTAGCAAACACAAAAGCAAACTACGAAAACACAATCAGTAAAAAATTGACGGCAAAGAATAAAGAACTTGCGACATTAGAACAAAAACTTTATGAACAAGACAGCAGATGGGTAGGTAAGTTACAACATTTAGAAAACAAAATTAAGCAACTTGAAGATGAAAAAATCGGCCGAGAAGTAGACAAGTTAGCACCACAGGGAATTTACAAAAATACTTCATCTGCGAACCCTGACACTAATGAGCCAAAGGTACCAAGTCCACCAAAAATGTCCACCTTTGATGGAAAGAGCGACTGGAGACCCTTCTTTACACAGTTTTCTCCTATTGCATCCAGATACAAATGGTCTGATGAACAAAAACTGGACAAACTTATTGAGAGTCTTCGAGACAAGGCCTTGAAATACTTCGGTTCCAGACCAAGTTCAGATCAAAGAAGCTTCAAGAAACTGAGTGCAAAAATGAATGAGAGATTTGGCAAGAAAGACCTGTCTCATATAATACGAAGACAACTTCAAGATATCAAACAAGGCCCCGAGGAATCCGTAGACGAGTTTGCGGGTAAGGTTCTGGAAATGACCACAGACGGATACCCAGACACGCCTGAAGACTGTCGACAAACTGTTGCAATAGATGCATTTTTGAGAGGCTGCACAAATAAACAAGCTGCACTCATTGCCATGGACAAAAACCCAGACACATTAGACATTGCCACACTATACATGAAAAGTGCAATCACAAACCAAAAGCTCATTTTAGGTATAAAAAAAAGTCTGAAACAAGAAGGGTCAAGTTTGAAAATTCAGAAAGTGATAGTGAGGAAGAGGAAGAGAAAGTTAGCAAGATTAGGTCTCTTTACAATAAACAAACATCAACACCATACACAGAACAAACAAAAATGTCAAGACTTGAGTCAAGGGTCACAAGATTAGAAGATGACACTAAAGAAATAAAAAAAAACATCCAAGATATTCTGAAAATTTTAAAATCTCCAAATCAGAAACACAATTACAGGTCAAACAGTAGAGAGGGTACAAGACTTAGATCCCCTTCAAGTAGCCCGAACAGACACGCTTGTTTTAAGTGTGATCAAGAAGGTCACTTTGCCAAAGACTGTCCTAATCGTAGAAGTAGGTCACCATTTCAAAGTAGGAATAGGTCCCCATCACCCCAGTCTAAGCCTTTAAACTTCAACAGGTTGGAGATGTAGGCCATTCTTCAACCTATTCAGATACATCAGACAGGCCTCCTAAAGTAAAATTTAAATTACAAGAAATTGACCTTTACAAAGATGATAGATTGAAAAACACCCTTTATGTCCCTTGTACTGTAAACAACAGAATAGTTGATGCTTTGATAGATACTGCAGCACAAGTCACTATTATGAATTGGGAACTTTTTGAAACCCTCAAACCCAAACCAAAATTAATTTAAGAAATAACTTTGAAAGGGGCAGGTAAACATAACATCAAAGCCAAAATAGCGGAAAAGGTCAAGTTGAGAGTAGGGCCAATAGTTCAACGGTGGGATGTAGTGGTTGGGGAGATTGCAGACTCATTATTACTTGGTCTTGATTTTTTTGAAAGCAAACAGTAGTATTATCAATATGCAAAACTTGACTCTTACTTTGGATCAAACATCAGTACCAATCACTAAGATCAAAACAGAGGGTTCTAAGAATGATGTTCAGGTATACAGAATTTCTGTACAGAAAAGAACAATTATACCACCTCAAACAGTTCAAATTACACCAGTAAAAGTTTACAGATCATTCAAAGGTTCACTTTGTATTGAGACGGAAAAAAACTTTTCTAAGGATATTATGCCTCCAAATTCTGTGATTAATTTAGAACATACAAGCATTTCCTTTAGAAATCCAACAGATAGATTTGTCACTTTAAAAAAAGGTGAAAATATAGGTTTTGGAATGGAAATAGATGAAGTGGTTGATATGGAAGATGACGAACAAATATCTGTCAATAAGATTGACATAGATCACTCCATTACTAAACCATCGTCAGAAAATTTAAGATCTCAGTTACCACCTCACTTACAAGACCTACTGAGTATATGATAGATCAATTACTAACCTAAATAAGGAAGACCATTATGAAGTTTTCTCTTTGTTAAACAGATTTCAGCATGTTTTTGCCAAAGATGATTTTGATTTAGGACTTTTTAATGGGGAGATAACTCATAAAATTAACACTGGTGGAGCAAGACCAATCAAACAGAAGATGCGTAGAACTCCAATGGGGGTTTGAAAATGAAGAGAAAAAACATATTGAACAAATGCTAGAAAAAGGTATAATTCAACCCTCTAATTCAGAGTGGGCCTCTCCTCCTGTATTAGTGAGGAAGAAAGATGGGAAAATGAGATTTTGTAGAGATTATAAGGCCCTAAACAAAGTTACAACAAAAATGCTTTTCCCATACCA